CACAGATGGAGAACACCCTAGCTCACCTAGTCACAGACACTCTCAATCTCATTAAGTAAGCTCTTAGGCCTCAGGACTTCGTGTCACTCTGCGTAAAGTTGATCCACTGGTGGTCCAGAGACTCCAAGTAGTGTTTCTCATTTTGTTCTCACCGTACTTTGCTGAAGCCTCTCTGAGCCTCTCGCCATTCTTCCTCTTGCATCTTTAACCTAGAGAAGTGGGAAGAGATGGAAACAACACATGGGAATTCAGAGGGTTTAGAACAAAGAAATCTGCCAGGTTTACTTTATTTCAAGAAAAGTTAAAGCTATATTAGGTCTGTCAAAATTACTGGCAACTTGGGATAAATGTTATCGAACCTGTCTTGAGCTGTTACATGAGGAAATTACTCATCCAAGACTTATTTTGGAGAAATGATTTATTTTAAAGTCAAATAACTTACCTAGGACAGTTATTTATCAAATAGCATTCCAAGGAAGACCTTCGAGATGTAAGTAAGTATTCCTTGATGAAAAGAGTTCTCTTCAGGCCAGGCATGGTGGCTCACGCCTGTAATCCCAGCACTTTGGGAGGCTGAGGCGGGTGGACCATGAGGTCAAGAGATAGAGACCATCCTGGCCAACATGGCAAAACCCCGTCACTACTAAAAATACAAAAAAATTAGCTGGGTGTGGTGGTGTGCGCCTGTAGTCCCAGCTACTTGGGAGGCTGAGGCAGGAGAATTGCTTGAACCCGCGAGGCAGAGGGTACGGTGAGCTGAGGTCACGCCACTGCACTCCAGCCTGGCACCTGGTGACGGAGTGAGACTGTGTCTCAAAAAAAAAGAAAAAAAAAAAACAGTTCTCTTCTTTTGCCAGCAAAAATAAAGTTAAACATATTTATTTGCTGTAGGACTTGGCAAAACATTCACAATGCTAATGGAAACATAGCAGTAGACAACTTGCAAAGCAATGTTCCTCTGGATAAATCTGGAAAGTTCTGATCAGAACTGATTCTAATAACTCAGAAGAGAACAGACTAAACCAAAAAAAAAAAAAAAATACAGCACTAAAACTGAAGAATAACCTACCTCTCAAAAGCCAGAAATTAAATGCTACAGGGAAAAAGAAATCATCAATTTGTGCCGGCTCTTGAGGGGAAGATGAGCGAGGACAAATAAAATCTGGTTATTTGTGAACCATGCAGCCAACAAGAATTAATTTTTAGGGAGCTGGGGAGAGATAGCAAGGGGAGAAATGCCAGATGTAGGTGATGGGGAGGAAGGCAGCAAATCACACTGCCACGTGTGTACCTATGCAAAAATTTTGCATGTTCTTCACATGTACCCCAAAGCCTAAAATGCAATAAAATAAATAAATGGGAAAAAAATAATTAATTTTTACCAGTTGATACTGACAGAGAACCAAGCTCCTAGCAAAGGATTCACAGTGTGGTCAAGAATGACATAGGGCTGGGCACAGTGTGGCTTGTGCCTGTAATCCCAGCACTTTTGAGAGGCCAAGACAGGAGGACTGCTTGAGCCCAGGAAGTTAGAGGCCAGCCTGGGAAACATAGCAAGACCTCGTCTCTGTAAAACAAGAAAAAAAAAAGAAAAAAAAATTAGCTGGGTGTGTGGTGGCGCATACCTGCAGTCCCAGCTATTCAGGAGGCTGAGGTGGGAGGATCACCTGAGCCTGGGAAGTTGAGGCTGCAGTGAGCTGTGTTCACGCTACTGCATTCCAGCCTGGATGAAAGAGTGAAACCCTGTCTAGAAAATAAAAAATAAAAAAAAGATGTTAACAACAGTTAGTCCTGATCAGCAGGAACACGAGTGATAATTACCTTTTATTTTCCATACTTAAAAATACTCCTCTCAAACACACACACAAAGCCTTCCACCACGAACTTACAAGATCTGTTCTCTAATACTGGTTACACAGAACCCCAAAATGAAGTTCCATTCTGCAACTGAATTTCAACAACCAGGGCTGGGGAAAAAGAGAGGTCTCATGGGACAACCAGGTTGGAAATGAGAGCCTTATTTATATATGAGACACTGACGCAGTAGTGAAGTACACCAGAGCACCAAGGACACATTCGCTCAGGTACCTTTTAAGAACAGTTGGAACAGCAATGGAGGGATTCTTTCTCAGACCATCCATGATGTCAGCTGCTTATCAGCATATCTCCTCTAGAGTGCTTTTCTCTGGGTGACTTCTGATGTGCCCCCAAGGGTGTTGTCCAGGCAAAATTTGGCTTGTTTCTCAGCAGACAAGTGGGAAAGCTTCTGTATTGCTTCCAGAACCCGAATTGTTGACAGATTCATCTCTAAAACTACATCAAGCTGAAGAGGAAGACAAAGAAGGGAATGCTCAATACCCAAATCAGAATAGAATAAAGCAGTGGTTAGAAGAATAAGGTAGGGAGTCAAACTCCTTGGATCCGCATGTCGGTTCTGCCCTACTAGCTACATAAGACTGTTTCTTTATCAGTAAAATAGGGATAACAGCACCTATTATTCTCACAAGCTTGTTTCTGGATGAAATGGCACAATCCACATCAAGTATTTAGCACAATACCTGGCACAGAAGAACCACAGGATTAAGGTGGATAAATGGTAGTTATTACCTCCACCACCATCACCACCAGTGTGAGCTTTGCTTAGGACTACTGATCTCAGACCAGAGAAACCTAACAGGAGAAGATGACTTTACTGATACTTTTCCCTGAACTTTCCTGAATTGCTAAGATCCATCATGAACAAACAATAACCATCAAAACAATCCCAAAAGACCACTCTGTCTTGAGAGATTACTGGTTTAACTTGAAATATTTAAATATATTTAAATACTTAGATATTTAATAGCCTTGTTCCACATCCAGTAATAAAAAAGGCAGTGACTATCACACGGTAAGGAGTTCAGTGTTATAACTGTGGGTAACCATTTAAATTCTTACTGAACTCTTTAGACAAACCGGACTTCCCTTTTGGATAATGATAATGTAACTAGACACATAAACACACTGGGGATTTTGCCACTTTCAGTGGTCACCCTCCTGATATAGGTGTTATGGGGCCCTCTACCACCTCATCTATTCACTCCACTCTTCCCTTCCTAACTACTTCAAAATAAAGTCCCTAGGCCAGGCGCAGTGGCTCATGCTTATAATCCCAGCACTTTGGGAGGCCAAGGCAGGTGGGTCACTTGAGGTCAGTAGTTTGAGACCAGCCTGGCCAAGATGGTGAAATTCATTTCCACTAAAAATACAAAAAAAAATTAGTCAGGTGTACTGGCATGCACCTGTAGTCCCAGCTGCTTGGGAGGCTGAGGCAGGAGAATAGCTTGAACACGGGAGGAGGAGATTGCAGTGAGCTGATATTGCATCACTGCATTGCAGCCTGAGTGACAGGGCGAGACTCCGTCCCAAAAAAAAAAAAAAAATCCAAGCATGGAGTATATCTACTGAGCTGATTCTTGCTACCCATATAACTAATTCTCTTTACTGAAGTGAAGAAAAGAGAAACCACTATTATGTCCAACTTGATTTCAAAAGAAGAAACCATTACAAACACTAATGAAAAGGATACATCAAAAGTGTCAGTAACACCTAATATGTCAGACCTTGAAGTTAGTCACTTACTATTCATCAGTCACCTCTTACTATTAGAAATTTCACAACTTTTTGTTATTACTTAATTCTGCAGACACATCTATCTCTTACATACTGCTTTAAAATTCACTGAAAAATTCAATATTCAATACATACAACTAGACCTCTCCCTATCACAGCTGTATCACGTCAAAGAAGGGAGCAAGCAGTTTTCAAGCAAGCAAGAAGGCAGACCACCGGTGTTACTATAACAGAAAACATCATGTAATGGATTACTAGCTGGAGTTTAAGACTTCCTCTGCTACAGTCCAAAGGTCCTGCCTTACAGATTAACACGATACGGATAACATCTGGTAACTCAACAAAGAATTTTGAGCAGGACAGGCTTCTAGACCAAAGAGATCTCACAAAGCATGTGCACTCTACTCACAAGAAGACCTAAGAGATCACTGATTTCTGCAATAATTCTCAAGCTCAAGAATCTTCTTTCTTAACACAAGACAGATTTAAAGGATCAAATAAGAAGAAGGGGTCAGGCATGGTGGCTCACACTTGTAATCCCAGCATTTTGGGAGGCCGAGGTGGGTGGATCATCTGAGGTCAGGAGTTCAAGACCAGCCTGGACAACATGGCAAAAACCCATCTTTATTAAAAATACAAAAATTAGGCTGGGCGCAGAGGCTCACACCCATAATCCCAGCACTTTGGGAGGCTGAGACGGATCACCTGAGGTTGAGAGTTGGAAACCAGCCTGACCAACATGAAGAAACCCCATCTCTACTAAAAATACAAAATTAGCCAGGCATGGTGGCGTATGTCTGTAATCCCAGCTGCTCGGGAGGCTGAGGCAGCAGAATCGCTTCAACCCTGGAGGCGGAGGTTATGGTGAGCCAAGATCGTGCCATTGCACTCCAGCCTGGGCAAACAAGAGCAAAACTCCATCTCAATAAAAAAAAATTAGCTGAGAATGCTGGCACGTGCCTGTGGTTCCAACTACTAGGGAGACCAAGGCAGGAGAATTGCTTGAACCTGGGAGGCAGAGGTTGTAGTGAGCTGAGATCACACCACTGCACTCCACACTGGGCAATGGAGTGAGACTCCATCTCAAAAAGAAAAAAAGGGAAAAAAAATTAAGTCTTGGAAGTTCCTAGTAGCAACCAAAACAATAAAGAAATTACAGCCCATTGCAAAGGAGAGAGATAATAAAAAACTCGAAAAAGTACAGTAATCCAAGCGATCAATGTTATTCTAATACTCTTTCGCAAAGCCAGATAACCTTTGCACTGAGTGTCTGTGACACATACTAACCCAACCGTTAACACACTTAAGAACACAAGACCACCTCTAGAGTACCTGTCCACTGGAATGGCTTGCGAATGTCAACATGAGCAGCTGCTGCCCATTCTCACCTTCACTGAAGGGGTGGTTTCTGTAGGGTGTCTGTGTATCTGGCAGCCATTCTGGCTAGGCCTTTGCAGCCTGTTGTTCAGTTGGGGCTTCTTGACAGTGCCCCCATGATCATTTCTCCCAGAATCAACGTTCTTAGCAGTTGTTTTGCTTAAAAGCTGATTAAGATACATCAAAGAGGTTAATGCTCTTATCAAAGCACATAAATATCACTTAGGAGAAGTCCCCTTCTGAGCGCAGTTTTCTAATTTAGCTAAGATGATAATCTTAAATAGTGTAATTCTTCTCAATAAAACGGACCGTGGAGCTGCTGGCATCTGGTAGGAACTGTCCAAATTCTGCCAACAAATCTTCCTGGTTTTTAAAGAGACGAGCCACTGGGCATACACCTCCTGCTCCATCAACGCTGAAGTGTAGTTTCCTCCAGCTGCCTTGGCATTTCTCTGCTCTTTCCAAGGAACTGCAAATGAAAAGAGATCATGTTAAAGGGCTACTGTTCTGAGTCATTCATCTCTGTACTTTTTGGAATCACTGTTACCTACTTAAGCTGTATGTAAGAAGAGAGTCTATATTCTTCGCACCCATTTTGAGTGCAGACTTTCAAGTTGAAAAAGAAAGTGGAAGATGGTGGATGACAATTCCTTTTGAAACTAGAGCAGTAAGGCCGGGCGCGGTGGCTCACGCCTGTAATTCCAGCACTTTGGGAGGCCGAGGCAGGTGGATCATGAGGTCAGGAGTTCGAGACCAGCCTGACCAACATGGTGAAACCTCATCTCTATAAAAAAAAAAAAACCTAGGGCAGTAAATTTCTGGAGGGATGGAGTTTCACTCTTGTTGCCCAGGATGGAGTAAACTTGCCTCAGACTCCAAAAGTGCTGGGATTACAGGGGTGAGCCACCATGCCCAAACCAGGGCAGTAAATATTAATGCCCAGGGGACCACCCCCTACCAACTGACAAAACCTTCAAGAAATCTGTCCTCCTTCTGTAGATTAACTAGACTATATAAATCACAACCTAAAATAGGGCTTCATTTTGTGGGGTAGTGACTTTAAAAATCCTGACTGAGGTTGGGCATGGTGGTTGACACCTGTAATCCCAGCACTTTGGGAGGCCAGGGTGGGAGGATCACCTGAAGTCAGGAGTTTGAGACTGGCCTGTCCAACATGTTGAAATGCCGTTTCCCTCCTAAAATACAATAATCACTTGAACCCGAGGTAGGGGCTGTAGTGAGCCGCCATCATGCCATGTCACTCCAGGCTAGAAATAAAGAGTGAAACTCTCAAAAAAAAAAAAAAAAATCCTGACTGAGTGTTACAGGGCAATCAAGTCAGGCAAATAAAACTGGCTTTACAGGCTGGGCACGGTGGTTCACACCTGTAATTCCAGCACTTCAGGAGGCTGAGGACAAATCAGAAGGTCAGGAGTTCAAGACCAGCCTGGCCAACATAGTGAAACTCCGTCTCTACTAAAAATATAAAAAATTAGCTGGGCGTGGTGGCAGGTGCCTGTAATCCCACTTACTTGGGAGGCTGAGGAAGGAGAATCCCTTGAACCTTGGAGGCAGAGGATGCAGTGAGCCAAGATCGTGCCACTGCACTCCAGCCTGGGCAACACTGCGAAGCTCTGTTTCAAAAACAAACAAACAAAAAGCCCAAAAAACTGGCTTTATAAACATGCATGATAGTTTCCAACTGGTTAATTTCCAGTAAGAATAATGGACACAATACTGGTGACTTAAGTTGTTCTTGGACTAGATGCCCTAAGGGGGTAGCCTGGTTAGACAGGCTAAATAGGCACTCCTCTTACCTGCTATGTTTGCAAAATCTCCAGGAACGCGTTGTAGATGTTTGGTTGGCCATGGAAACTGTTCTTGATCTTATTAAAATAGTTGATGGCATGATTAAACTCCATAGGTTGATTGTTCTGCAAGGACAGGGCTGTTCCCAACAAGACAGTCACTGGTGTGTGGGGCTGGACCAGTGGAGAACGTGGGGATGCATATGGTGGAAGCTGGGGAGTCTGCAGACTGGCTGGAGTATGTGCTTGTAGTTTGGAAGGCTAAGAAGAAAAAAAGTATTTATTCTCCTCAGGTGCATAGATGAGCTGAGACAGAGAAAGTTCAAACTAAAGAGAAAAAATGTGTCAACTTATATCACTCAGGCCAGGTCATTTTAGTCCAACACGAATCATACTGGGCAGCAGTGGGAGTTGTAGAGGGTTCAAACATGCTGATACAAATATCTGTCTCGTATTGTCTAAATAAAACCTTAAAAATGAAGCCATCTCCAATTATAGGGAAGCATTTTCATATGCAATGTTTAAGCTTAATAGCTCAACCACTACAAATAGAAAAAAATCTCATTCTACCTCATCTTTTGATGTCAAAAAAAGACAACATCTCAATTATTGTAGGAGCTCCACATAAAAGTCTTCTACACCAGCTCTGTCCTGTATGACTGAGGTGATGAAAATGTCCTTTATTTGTACTGTCTTACATAGCCACCTAGCCACATGTAGCTACTGAGCACTTGAAAGCTAGTGCACCTGAAAAACTGAATTTATTTAAATTTAAATAGTCCTATGTTTAAATTTAAACAGTGGCTGCTGTTCTCAGACAGCGTGGCTCTAGACGAAGAACATCCATCTTCATCATCGTCATTCCTCATTAAATCTTCTGCTTAGCTCACTGTAATCTGGTAAGTGAAATAACTTTCATAAAATGATAATCATATGGGCAGTAGCACAACTTGACTATGGTAAGATGATGGTTGAGTCACCACCTGTCGGGATATTCATGGTTTTATAAGCAGAAACTGTAAACAGAAAGGCCTTGAAAGTTGTTGCTGTGTTGATTTAAATAAATATCTAAATAAATGGTGTGTAAATGAGAACCATAAGCAGCTACTGCATTTTCTCTGATGAATCTTTGTAACCTTGTGTCTCAGTATCTAAGTCTTACATAAAGGGGAAATATCAAAGGAAGGTGCTTTCTATGGATGCATTCACATTGACGCAGTATTTTCCAAGTGCTCACCTTGCTGACTTTGGCAGGTGGGGGCTGAGGCGCTGGCTGGGCAGGAGCTGGGGTTGATTGGGCTAAAGGCTGGGAAGGATGTTGGGGTGGTGGCTGAGGCTTGGGCTGGATGCCAGGGGTGGGAATCAGATGAACCTGGCCAGGAGTTGTCACATTCACCATGTCATTGGTTGGCACCTCAATTTTGTAGCCAGGGGGCAAGAAGGTGTTGAATCCCATTATCAGTTTAGGAGGTCTTTGAGTAGCTAGGAGACATGACTAATCACTCCTGAAGTGTAGATGCTGATAAAAAAACAAAAGGAAAAGTGGTGGAATGCAAGCTTGACAAACACCCTGACAAGGGAAAGATTCACTTTTGTTTTTTTGTTTTTTTGAGATGGAGTCTCACTCTATTGCCCAGGCTGGAGTGCAGTGGTGTGATTTTGGCTCACTGCAACCTCTGCCTCCCAAGTTCAAGTGATCCTCCTGCCTCAGCCTTCTGAGTAGCTGGGATTACAGGCATGTGCCACCATACCTGGTTCATTTTGTATTTTTAGTAGAGATGGAGTTTCACCATGTTGGCCAGGCTGGTCTCAAACTCCTGACCTCAGGTGATCTGCCCATCTCACCCTCCAAATGTGCTGGGATTATAGGTATGAGCCACCTCACTCGGCCAAAATTTCACTTTCTACTAGATTTTCTCTAACAGGAAAACAGATAAACAATCTAAACATTATAAAATTAACACACAAGGAACTCTAAAATTCCAAAGCCATTTAGCTTTAGACTCCAAGATACCTGGCCACAATTTTTATTTTAATTTGAGACAGAGTCTCATTCAGTCACCCAGGCTGGAGTGCAGTGGCATGATGTCGGCTCACTGCAGCCTCCACCTCCTGGGTTCAAGCAATTCTCCTGCCTCAGCCTCCCAAGTAGCTGAGATTACAGGCACCCGCCACCATGCCTAGCTGATTTTTTTAATGGTCAAAATTTTCAAGAGAATATACATTTATAGTAATAATCCTACCAAGCAGACACTCAGACAATATATATAAAAAGAATACATATAAAAAGCTACAAATCCCAAATAAGATCTAATCATTGCTATACCAGTATACATCATTTCAGCAGGCATAACATGGTTCAGATGTTACACTCTTACAACAGGTACCATGCCTGAATATTAACAGTATCTAAACCAATTCAAAAACCAAGTAGAGGTCGGGCGTGGTAGCTCACGCCTGTAATCCCAGCACTTTGGGAGGCGGATGCGGGCGGATCACAAGATCAAGAGATCGAGACCATCCTGGCGAACATGATGAAACCCCGTCTCTACTAAAAATACAAAAAAATTAGCCGGGTGTGGTGGCGCGTGCCTGTAGTCCCAGCTACTCAGGAGGCTGAGGTATAAGAATCGATTGAACACAGGAGGCGAAGGTTGCAGTGAGCCGAGATCGCGCCACTGCACTCCAGCCTGGTGACAGAGCAAGACTCTATCTCAAAAAACAAAAAACCAAGTAGCATAAATCACTACCAGTGTTACTTCCCTGATTGGGACAAAGCACTGGACAAAATTTAGTTAAGAAAAATTTACCCAATAGGGACAAAAAAGTCTAATGGCCGTAATTTCCACTAATAAAGGAATGCACAAAACAAACGCACAATTTCAAGAATTCAGCCCCAAAAAGGAGAATCCTTTATCTTCCGGTAAATCAGCTATATCCTCTTCCTTCCAAAATCAACATGCCAGTTATAAAGCTTCAGTACAATCACATATGTCTTTTACTTCTGAAATTTACATTTCTTCATGATGTCAAGGAAATCATTGTAGACCTGAGGCTGACTACCAAATTGGTTTCACCTGGTCAAGATAGGATAGCATACCTGAGGCAGGGATAAATATCAAAGTTATAAAAAGAAAATAAGCTAACAATTATATACATATATATAATTATATAACAAAGTAATATATTTTTATTTTATTTACTGTGTTAAGCTTATTTAGGCATAGATACTTACATATATATATGGATATATATATAAAATATGTATATTTATGCCTAAATAAGCTTAACACAGTAAATAAAGTAAAAA